ACCATTTCTTTGGGCCTTTGTCTGCCTCTCGGTTGTCTGCTGTTGTGGGAGGGACTTCTCTCTGTGGTAACATGAATGCTGGTTCAAATCCTGCACCTCGACACTGATTGTTGACCTGCTGCTATAGTTCATCTAATGACATTCCACCTGCTTCGTGAGCTTTTTGTGCAATCACGGTCGTTGTGGCACACTTGATTAGTTCTGGTGGTGCTCACTCAACAAGTCCTGCTTCTAGCATATCTGTGACTCGAGTGTCATAGAATTTAGACTGTTCTGTCATGAGTGGCCATTGATGGATGCACAGATTAAAGGCTGTGTTTTCTGGTATGTTGAGATTGATGGCTGCTCCTGGGATTGGTATGACTTCTCCAAGTGATAGTGTGAAGTTATCTGTGTTGTTTGCTACAAATTCTTCTAACTCTTTGCGCTCTTCTCTTGTTAATTTTTCCCCGAATGCAATCTGGCAAGCAATTTCTACTACTCGCGCTGGATTGAAGGCATCTGTTTTTCTAGTATAGATTGACGGGTTCTGTTGCATCTGCGCAGGCTCCAGGAGTTCACCAAGCAACTGGTCTTCATCTGTTTCGATGATAACCCTTTTTGGACATGCTTGGTTGCTGTACTCATGCTGGTCAATGACTGGTTTTTCAGACAGCGATGTGATCGGCATGACTTCCCTTGAGGGGAGTGTCTCGCTCCCCCATAAGCTTCCTCGTATGTTATCTTTCTTTATTAGTCTTGGGTTCTCTTTTGGTCAGGTGGTTTGGTCTTTCAGATTTGCAGGCTCATTGGTACTGGGATGGTTTGGTTAATCTTTGGGTTTTCAGGGTATCGGCTAGGCCTATATGAAACTTCCCTCGAGGGGAGCTCCTTGCTCCCCACTGAGTGTTTGCATTCTGCAATTTCTCTCTTAGCAACTCATCTCCAGATCTGTCATTCTCTTCTCTTTCGGACTTGCTGATTCATGTACTTTGGTGTCCATTGTCCCATTGGCTGCCATGATGGGTATTTTCGATGCTCATGATTGATGTTAGCATTTTCTTCAATCATACTATCGTTGCCTTGCGTGACTTGCCTTGAGGGGGGCTTCTCTGTTCCTCCCATTACTATTTCTCGCTGTTTAGGGTCTAGCGTCAAACTAATTCCCTTGCTCCACACACTCAATGTCTGATATTTGTACTATCTGATTCTTGATTGTCGTTGACTGCAGATTATTGAATATCTTGACAGTATCTGACATGTAATCATGTATCGCCTTGAAGGCTTTGACCATCGGTTTCCCGAACAGGAATCCCCAACTTCCAGCACTATTGAAGACCTCGAAACTGCATTGAGCTTTGATGCTATTGATCTCCACCGTTCCTGACCATTTAGCAATGGACTTGACGATATTTCCATTAGCCATTCTAAGATTTTTGCTCAAAGTCATCCAGTTGTGTAGCCAGTGTTTGATTTGATTAAATATTGATGCATACATGACTCCAACCATGGCGCTGTCATCAAATAGGGCTTTAACTCTGGTTAACTCTCCTTGTGGTCCATGCAGTATAATCTGGTGCATGAATGGAACTGATTCTCTCCAGCTGAGTCTTAAGTGTTTGCGGGTGACCGGCTGAGTACAAGTCAACAACTATAGTTGTGTCAAATGGCAATGCTGTACATGTGGCACTGTTATTTAAGGCTGGAGCTTTGGGGCTAATGGTTCTATTGTTGTCCTTGCGCGTAGCCTCCTCCCTCGCAAGGACCTTTGAATCGTCTTAAGTATTCCTTAGGTTGTGGGTTGACGTGATACTCTCCTTTATGCCGACCCTTCCTCTTTTCCCTCACTGAACTCTACAACTTCTTCGATCCAAGCTGAGACTGGTTGTGTGAATTGGTTGAGTACCAGGGAGATTGGCATTGCTGTGGCTCTGTTGAACATGCCAAGGACTTTGCTAACAATTGCTCTCCATGCAGCTTCCTTTTGTGATAACCTTTCTACATGGTTCACCAGTAAGGTACAGTTCCTCCCATTGTGGCCATGGGTACCGCATGCGAAACATTCACTTGAAGCGATGGCCGCTGTTCCTGGTTTAAGTAGGTAACCTGTCTCATGGCTAACTCTGGTACTTTCTCCCCATTTTGCGTTCCACTGACTGACTTGAGTGTTGTATGCTGCATGGCCCGCCGGGTTGTCTGGGTGATGCGGGAGAGAAGTGATAAGCTGTCTGATACTGTTTTTCACTTTGTCTGTGATGATGAATGGTTGTGGAGCTGCAGTAGATTGGCGACTGAAATTCAGCTGTGTGTCTTGGTTGGCTTGCTGTGTTGGTACTTGTGTGACCATGCTGTTGGTTTGGGGTACATTTGGCAGTGTCGGCGAGTTGATATACATTCTGGATAGTTGGTTCTGTAAAGCCAAGATAGAGTTCTGTGCTGGGTTTCACTGCTGCATGCAAGCAACATCCGCACGCAGCATGTTGACCTCCTGTTCTTGCTTTGTATGCTGCTCCTTCTTTTCCACGAGTCTTGTCCCTTTCAACTCCTTGACCTCTTTGATGAATGCTGCCCAATCTGTGTACTCATTGTCCTTGAGTAAGTCCTTGATGATACTTGGTAGCAGTCCTCTGACCTGCCAGATCATTGAGGTACTTGCTGTGATTCCTGCACTTGTGGCTAGCTGCATCGCTTTGGTTGCCCAAGCTTTGTGTGCCCAACATTCCCTATTGTATAGGGTGGTCTTTGTCCCTACGGCTGCTTCCAACAGCCGATGTTCTAATAACTTCTTCTTGTACTCCACCTTGGTCTTCTCTGCTATGAGGATAGGTGGCCACCGTGTTTCGAATGCTGCGACGAATATTGGCCATGAAGTTTTATTTGCAGATGAGAGGCCTTTAAACCATACTTTGGCTTGGGAGCTGGTGCCTAGATAGTCTCTGAACATGTTCAACTTATCGGTGCTTACAGTTATAGACTGTTGTCTCATGGCACAATTGAATGACTTTAGGAAGTCTGCAGGGTTCTCTTTTGCACAGCTGTCTCCATGGAAAATCTGCAGTGTTTCTGTGGGCATGTTGGGCTGTGCAATTGTGAAGAGCTTGGCTAAGTCGTAGTCTGGTGCTGCAGAGATGGATTTGAGCAGTTCACTTTTCACATAGTGCAGTACTAGTTGGAAGTTAGGTTGGGGTAGTTGAAGGTCTAGTTCTGGGACGTCTAATTTGGAGAATGGTATATTGTTTCTGTCTTCATCCTCAAGACTGCTAAGAGGTGAGCTGTCGAAGTGGTATGGTGTGTTGAGCGAAGATGATTCAGGCATATTGAGTGGGGAAGAGGTGATGGATGTGTCTGTTAACCACTCCGCCCAGTTGGTTTTTGAATGAACATTGGTTACTGCAAGTCCCATGGATGCTCTGGGTCTTAAGCTGCTAGCCATCAGTTTCTGATGGGAATCTATGTAAACAATTTGGAGTGGAACACAGCCCTTTTGTAATATGTGCAGGTGTTTTGAGAACACCTGCCATCTAGCTTGGCCTTTTGGGCGTAACACAACGTAATGAGACTGCTTTTGCTTGTAATAAGGTTGTTGGTGTTTCCAAATCAAGGGTTCTGCCTATTTCAATTGGACGATTGCAGGAAATGACTGCGACTAGAACTGCGACTGAATGCTAATGCTATGATGAACGTGGCTGCATTGAAGCTCACTCTGTTCACCATGATGAAGCAGGATGAGAGCACTTAAGCTTGGACAAAGCAGAAACTCTACAGGATGATGATGTTGCTACACTACTCCTTGCGCCAACTCTAACCTCTATGCTGACTAAGTTTTGGAATCTGCCGAGAGACCTTCTGGTGTGTGGTGGCTACCCTTAGAACCCCTAGTCCAGTGGAGCGAAAGGCCTTCAACCATTATGTGACTAGCTCAATACCTGCCAAATCAGCATCAGAGAGTTCATATGGCCTAAGGTCTCAAGTCTTTGTAATGAAGTCATCAATAGCTTGACAAAAATCAAGTGCCTGATGGAGCATCTGATGTGTGGATGACCAATGAGTCTTGACGTCTAAGATAAGCATGAGAGCAACTTGATTTGTTGCATTCTCAGCCTTCTTAAGAGACATTGTGACTTCCACAAGCCACACTTTCCATTGCTGTGGGCTTGAACTGGACCGAACAGATGATTTTTCGAAGCTAGGATTGTGTTAGTGGTAGAATATATAACACACAGTGTAGTCGTACCTTTGTGACAGCAGAGAGCACCTGCTGCAATAACTCAAAGTTATCACTGGCAGCCTCATCATCAGCCTCATCATGAAGAGCTGCATAGTCATCATGCTCGCAATCAAGTGGTGCCATGACTGAATCATGATATGTGATGTCATTCTGCTTTGCATCTGGCTTGATCACACCAATACCTTCAAGCAGCTGCATGGTAGCCAAGTGGACGATGTGTGGCAAGCAGTGGATGCATGAGTCCTCATGAGAGAAGTCAATTCCTTCATTGGCACACTTTTCTCAAAGTGCTTGAAGTAGGGTGTCGTTATTGGAGGCATTATCACATACAACTACCATGACCCGATTTTTCAGTCTGTATAGCTCCAAGGTACTCCACACCACTTCGGCAAGATTAGCTCTGCTATGTTCACCGATGATCTCACGAAAATCAATCAAAAGTTCTTCTATAAATGTGCAGTTAGAATACAGTGCGACAAGATATTGCAATGTCATACCCAAATTCCAGTCATTCATGATATAATGCATGACGATGGCCAGGAAAGCAAATTGATTACTTGAAGTCCATGCATCAAGAGAGAGGCTGACTTTGGACTCAAGATTCTTTCATATTGTATAGACAATTAGTTGTTCTTCTTTGACTCAACTCAACTTGACTTACCTCAATCATGTCCTTAACACCTTGAATAGTATCTTCTCCTATCTTGATAACACAGTGCTTGATGGCCAGTCTTCCAGAGATGTGGAGCGGAGAGCTTCTATGTGCGTAGTCTAGGAGTGCTTTGAATTCTGGTCATTCAACCTCCTCAAATGGCTGGTCACATGCCACAAGCCATTGTGCAAGCAGTTCTTCAAACTTGGCTTGGTTCCAGTCACCAAAAGCTTTGGTGACCTGCTTGTTGAAGGCGTCAACAATGTTTACCGATGCTTGCTCGAGCTGGATAGCATTGAGCACCTTCTCTCCCCACGCAATTTTGAGTTTGTCGTCAGTAGGTGGCGTTCCATGGGACTTCAAGAGTAGATATAGTCGATACATTGGTGGAAAATGAGTCTTCAGATGACCAATCAAACCTGAGACTAGTAAGAAACAAGACATGAATTTAAAAAAAAGTAATGTACCATTCAGACTGCTTTCCATCACATGTGTGATGGTAAGGACCTTGCGGTTGCCCAAATAGCTTTTGTAGTGTTTGTCACCGACATCACCTGCTTGTCCATCAGAATTCACCTCCACATGCTTGTAGAAGTAATAAATTGGATTGCACTTGCCAGACTGCTAAGGAATTGGAGTGACCTGAGTTATAGCTATATGAACAATAGGAAAGAACTTACCTTTGATAATTGCAGAAGAACTGAGCTCATTGATGGCTGGCTCGTTGATGGCTGTAGGCTACCACTATCCTCATCATCTACTTCCTCCACTCAAGCACGCTTGGATGCCTGGGAGTTACTGGGGGCAGGCAAAGGTTGGTTGGCCTTGCGCTTCGTTTTCTGTCAGAGTTGGCGTGTGTCTTTACCCCCTCACTGTGGTACAGTTTTCATAGGAAAAATTGTGGCAAGCTAGATAATTAGTAAGACTAGTCAAGAAAAATACGAGAAATAACTCACTTCCATGTTTGTTATCTCCTGAATATCACTGTTAGAGTCTGATGAGGATGACTCCAAGCAAGATTCAGAACTATCCCCTTCGAAATCACTGTCAGCGGCATCTGAAGTGTCCTTGACTGCAAGAGTCGAAAAGAAGTTGTTGTCATTGCTAATGGTGTTCTTTTTGGGTAAACGATGAGGTCGGCAATGGCAATGCGGAGGCTGATCATCATCTTCATGTTCAGCTTGAATAAGAGCATTCATGCACTCAGGATTTTTGGGCTGTCTTCCACAGCCAAGGACCTCCTGAAAAGCTTGATCCTCAGCAGGTACACATGTGTTGGGAGTGTCAGATGACATTGAGCGACAGTATGGGATCTCGAAGGGAGAAAAGTGAGAAATGGGAGCAAAGGAACAGCACCAGGAGCTATCTTGGCCGGTGTCATGGTTCCTCCATGATTGGCACAAAAGAATTGAGGAAATGATCTAGTAGACATGACATAGAATATGTTAGCATATAACTGATTATAGATTGTGGTAGACAACTTACCAGTGCTTTGAGGATTTGCATAGTGAAGATCAGGTTCGGAACGACGTGTTTCAAAATAAGACTTATGGCTACTGCATGTATCAATTTGTTTGTAGATGATAAACAAACCCGTACTCACACCGTATTACGGCCATATATGCCCGTACAAATACAGCAACATATGGGTCCTTTATACCCCGCACTCCGTACACGGCCAAACATGGATTTTGCTTTACCTAACATTTGACGGAGATTCAATTGTGTACCCCAGTCCGGTCACAATCAAGCACGCAAGGAACCAAATACAAATATATAGACCAATGGTCCTAGTGATATGATTTTTTGCCTGTATTAAGAACCAGTGTTTTGAAGGGCCTAAGAAAGGTCTGGCAAACAGTGATAGCACCCACAAGTGATGTAGACATGTCACTGTAATATAAACCTTAATGTGATGCTCAGCTCATGAGGTCAACGAGTCATTGCTCGAATATCTGGCGAACATCAACACTGAGGTCTAGGTGACCGCTATAGTAGATCTAATGCAGATTGCTTGGTTGTTGTGATTTCAGCTCAGTGCCGAGACCCGCTCAGTGATAGTAAGCTCAAGCATTGCATTGCAAATTTTGAAAAAGATTGATTTTCGGCCAGAAGGATGGGAGAAAATGATACATGCATTGTCCTATTTTATGCGTAAATAAGGTTGACACAAAATACATGGGTATGAGGTACATGGATGAATATGTAGGAATCAATATTCCTGAAAGAGAGGAAGCGGATATAGCATAGTTGCGAGATCATGAAATTTCCTCCACACACCAGTCCGGACATCATCGGGCGATCTCTCACTGCCTGACCCAAAGTCAGACATCCAATAGGTAATAAACTCGCCCTCCATGCCAATCTTTGGGTCCCACAGTGGCCATTCTCGGCGTGGAAATCCAGGGAACGCTGCAACAAATGCCATCCAAAAAGATTCACAGCCCCACAACCACACATCTGAACGTGTCAAAGAAATATTGTTTGAAAGCCAATCTTGAATGGTATCGGCAAGCACTGCCCAAGTCCAACCATTGAGGTGATTGAAGTTGGGTGCGAGAGGAAAGAAGGGAAAGCTGCCCTACATATAATGTTATCATTGATGTATCTGTGTGGGCAGTCCAATTACCTCTGGTAGACTATTCAACGATGGGCGACCGCTCAAAGCAACATGTAGGCTGATACATTCTACAATGGGTGAAATTTGACTGGCATATGCTTCAGGAATATGGATGGAGACTTTAAGTGGCTGAAACATTTTGTGAGATGGAAGACGATGCAGAAAAACATTGACTGACAATAAATGTGGGTGGGTTTTGCAACTGTGACTGTATATTTCCGACAAAGCAGATAGATAAGCAAAGAGAGGCAAGACTAAGTCCGTTTTCATCGTATACTGTATCAACATGGAGAGTATCTGTGCTGGCTCTTGTAAGAGACATGGTTGCCAGAGGTTTGAAGGCGTGTTGAAACAATGTTGCACGAGGTTTGAAGGCGTGTTGAAACAATGTTGCAAGTTGCTGTTGGTCATCACGTGAGTTCAAGTTCTGCTTCATCACAATCAACGATCGATCAATTCAAATTCTGCCACCGGATCACTCATGCCCTCGACCTCACCGAACCTCACCAGCATGCTGAACATGTGTAGATGCTCATATAAGAGCATGTAAATACTCTTGTGCGGGCACCTATCTCTGTTCATTTTCTCAATTGTTCAAGTCAAACAGTAAAACGTTAGAGCCTTACCAATGCAGCCCAAGAAGAAAACTGTAGACTTGGATCCTTTTGGTCAGTCTTATGTCGAAGCCTTCAAATGTAAACTAACTTTATTTGCAGTGTATGCGCAAGCCGGCGAGATGGGCCATGTTATATGCAAGGTGTGCCCAAAGCTAAGGGATACCATCCTGCCAATGTGCCAATGTCACGTCGCTGCCCATGACCGAACAAAGAAGCACTGACAGAATCTCTCACATGCACTGCGCCGTAGCCATGCAACCCCTCCCCCCAATTCTGAGCCCAACATCAACTTTGACATGCTTGAGCCATCCGACCTGACCTTACATGATGAACCTTCTTGGGGCCAGCCACCTTCTGATCCCATGTCTGAAAATGCGACACCTCCACTGACAAATACTATAAACAACGATGCGGAGGATGACGAGTCTTACTTCTCGATCAAGGAGCTGTGGCATGGCACAGCGTCAGCACGTACATTTTTGCATGCGGACTACTATGAAGAGATGCAGGCAGCTCTTCAGCGAGGAGAGTCACTGTTTTCCTGTCCCTTACCCCCCAGCTCTGATGAGCTGGGTATGGAGACAGATGATGTTGACCTTGACGATGGTCTCGAGCCAGAAAATCATGGAATAGATCTTGCAGGTACGTACAGTCTGTTTTACATTCACACATACCATTATTAATGCTATGGCCAGGTGTATCTCCTGAAACTGATGGCCCAGCTTCAAACTCGGAGGTTCCACTGGACGCACCAACTTTTCCATGGGCGACAACATCTGTAAGTTCTGTCATTCTCCCAATAGCTACACTCACATTAACTCTAAAAGCAGGAATTTATCACACATCTTCTCTTCAGCTCACCCCGTCTTCGATTCTCCGAAGCACAAAAAAAGGCCGTTCTGAATTGGGCAACTGTGCTCGGGGCAACAGGTGTCCCCTCACTTCATAGTCTCTGGAAAGCACAGGATAGGATCAAGGAACTCATTGGAAACCCGACTGAGAAAGTTACTGCGGCCTCCGGCAATATTTTTTATATCAACTCGGTAGGCAAGGCCATCACAAAAGTAAGTCTTGGAACTAGTATCGTCAATGTGCGTTGGCTCACTTGTTGATCTTAGGATTATTCCAATCCACTCACACGACTGACTATGCGCGACTACCCCGAGGATGGTCAAGGTCGAATGTCACAGATTCACCATGGCGAGAAAATGCTTCATGGTCTTCCCGACAATCTTGCGACACTGAGTGTTCGTGTCGACGGGAACATATTCTTTGTCGATGAGCTCCTCCAACAAATGTCGAAAGACTATTTTATTCCTAAAAAGTTCTTTCAGGCGCAGGTATCTGCTGACCATGACACTGAGATATTGTCTTTGGGACATTCTGTCACTCGGACGGAGGTAAGATCATTCTAATCGTGTGACTTTGACTCATCGTATACAGGAGGGATTTTCAGTTGATCCTGAACAGGTCATCACACCAGTATCAATGTTCTCGCGCACCTTCAAGGATATTCAAGCTTGCTCTAAGGAGTTTTCATGCGGCTTTACAGGTGAGCTCGTATCATGCTCATCTTGATATTACTTGATGCACTATCTCAAGATTCGTCTTCTTCGCATGCCTGTCTCATGCCAAATCCCCTTTGGGAGAAATCAGATGGCCGCATGGTCTTAAGTGTCCCACTCATCGTCTTCATGGATGACGTATCGGGAAATATCTCGAAGCAGTGGAACAAACACCACGTTGTATATATGTCAAATGCTGCCATGCCCCATGAAATGCTTGAAAAAGAATTCTGCGTCCGATTTGTGTTGTCATCACCCCACGCGACTCCCTTGGAACTCATGCAAGCCGTGATGCAATCTATTCAGTATGTATGCTATTATATCAACTACTTGTGTCTGATGGGGATCACACACTCAGAAAGGCTGCAGATAACGGCGTTATTGCGTGGGATTGTAAATACCACGAAGAAGTCATGCTCATCCCTCACAGTATCTTCACGGCAGGCGACAATCCAATGCAGGCCGAAGAATGCAGCCATGGCGGGCTCAGGTGTAATTTTTTTTGCTGGACATGCAAAGTTGGTGGCACAACTGTAGACAAGAAGTCTGATGCGGGTTACTGTAACATATTCAAGGTTCGTCTAGACATTCTGTGTGTTTCTAAACTAATGTACTTATAGTCCGCTGAACTTCGAACACCAGAGGAAACACTGGCGCAGGTAAAAGAGCAGGTCGAGCTTGCAAAACTGCCTGGTGGAACCACCAAAGTTCAGAGCGCTGTGGCATCAACAGGGACCCGAGATGCAGCTACATCGGTGATCATAAATCGCCTTCTTGAGCTCGGAAAACAGCTCCGCAAATGTGAGGCCGGGAAGCCTCCCATTTCTGAAGCAGACGTTCATGTACAGCTTGAGCGTGAGCTTGAGGCTGCACTAAACGGTTGTTTGCTCGATGATCATATCAACCCACTTCTTGGTATGCCAAGTGTCAATATTCATCAAGACATGCCCACGGAAATCCTACATACTGTCCTTCTCGGTGTCGTCAAGTACTTCTGGGGCCAGACAGTATGGATACTCGACAAAAATCACTTGCTCAATACATTCCAGATGCGACTGGAATCTGTCAACAAGGAAGGCTTGAATTCGCCGACTCTTGGAGCAGAGTACATCTGCCGTTTCAAAGGAGGTTTGATCGGCAAGCATTTTAAGAGCCTTGCACAGGTAATGCCATACCTGATCTACGACCTTGTTCCATGCTCAGTTCTCAATGGTTGGACTGTGATTGGCAAGCTTGTGGTGCTTCTCTGGCACACGGTAATTGATAATACCTGGTGCGTCACACTCTCATCTTCAAAAGTAATTATTGACTCATTTATATTTTAAGGCCATTCTATCACGGACGATCGATGACTTTCTCAGTATCAGCGCTAAATGTGCGCCCAGTATCCTCATCACGAAGGCAAAGTTCCACTTCCTCCTCCACCTTCCAGCTTTCATACGGTGCTTTGGGCCAGCGATTCTGTTCTCAACTGAGCGCTTCGAGTCCTTTAACCATATTTTCCGTCTTTCATCAATCTACAGCAACCGTCAAGCCCCCAGTCGTGATACTTGTCATACCTTCGGTGGCTTTGATGTTGTCAAGCACATCGTAACTGGAGGTTTCTGGTGCGACCCGAAGACACGGAAATGGGTGCATGCTGGTAACAACATCGCTGTGTACATGGCCACACACCCTGAACAACGCCGCTTGATAGGCTTACCCACCACAAATGAAAAACCAGTCGGTAAGTAATGTTTCAATCACACTCGAATCACCCATTGATATCTTGGTAGGATTAGTTCATTTGCCAACTCACAAGGATGCGGGGGGCAAAGTCCCACCAGTTGAGTGGTGTTCGACACAGACCACACTTCTTCCTCCTCAAAAGCATCAATTCCCTGTCACCTCGCTTTTTTACAAGTGTGATTCTTTCATAGTGGCAGATCACAGCAGTGCGCTGCTGGGGAGCCATGTCATCATGAGGCGTAATCAGACGTGTTTGGACAAGGTAAGTAATGATATATTGCAATGCGGCATCTTACTAAGTGTTGCTTCTCTGTTCTAGCTCTCTATCGGCAAAGTCATTGAAATACTCGTGCCCCACCAAGGACACATCACAACACATGTCATCATTTGGTGTCTCGAATTCTCGTCAGCTGAACTACACCCTCAATTACATGTGCCATGCCTTAGATTTCCAGACATTGACGATATTGCTGTCCTTGCACCCAATGTAAGTCTTATTTTCATTGCTCTTTGTGCTCATACTGAGAGTTTACATAAGGAAATATTGTGTATCGTCAACGTTCAACATGACTGCGCATCGTCTGGAGCAAACTGTGTCATCCGGAATGTGCAAGAGCGGCAGGAGCACATTGTCACAATGAGACTCCGGCAGCTCGTTGATCATGCACCTACTAATGCCTACTTCCTCAATACCCACGTGCTTCACAATTACCAACACATCTCAGTTCTACTTCCACCGGATATACGCGCCCAGATCAGCATGCCACGTATCTCGTATCACCAGGCTGTACGTCTCCATGCTGCAGCACTCATGCACCAAAAGAAGGCATCAGACAGTGCTAATCCCGCTGACCCGGAGAAAGCGAGGGAGAATGACCCACCTCCGGCCTTTGATCATAGCGCAAGCAAAGCCACACGAATGAAAGGCAAGGGTAAAGTAGTGCCGAAGAAGAAGCTTGTGACTGGGCCAGATCTGGGACCCTCTGATCTTGCATCTCGATTGCAACGCCCGCAGCAGGTCTATAGCACCCCGCCAGCTGGTGCTATATTACAAAACGAAGCCTCATTTTCACGATCTGACGTCCTCGCTTATTTGCCCTCAGGAACTCTACAGCCGCATGGCTACTGGCAGATGCACGCAGGCCCTTCTGAACCAGCTCGTCTGCAACATCAAGGGCATGCTCCACCAACCGATAACTTTACTCACACTTCATATCCACCTCAAGATTTTAGTCAATTATCTGTCGTGCAGCACATGCACTCCCACCTGCCCGCTGCAAGTGGTATTCCAGGTCATTTCCTTCATAATTTCCGCACTTATGATGGACAATAGACATTTTAATATTTACTTTCAATACAAACTACAACCTACATCGATTACTATAACTATGTCTGTTGTCGTGTCTCGTTTCTTTGCCCTGCACTGAGTTGATCCTCACTAAATGGCTTGTCCAAGTCTGTTGACGCAATTCAGACTCCTCCAAGCACCAGCTGCTGCCCCACGTGGTTCTTCCGCTCCAGTCACTGGTCTTGTGAATCCCAGGGAAAATACTCCCACAACAGACTTGGCTGCCGACCGCAGGGCCACAAGTTTGAGTCCCCCCACAACTCCAGCAAGACGCCCATGAAGTGATTCAGCAGACAACAATATCGACACTGAACATGAAAGAAAACGGCTCAAACAATTTGCTACTGACGCTTGCTTGCAAGGCCCATGGCCTGCCTGACAACGCGTTGGACGACTTTCTCAATGTAAGTAATATAACGATCTCTAAACATTGACTGACTAGTCCGATGTCAGGTCAAGTCCATCAAGGAGATGTTTCTAAATTTTATGGCAACCCTGCTCGCAATGCAAAGGGCCACTAAATGATCTGCAAGTCAGGACTTTATTGCTTCGGACGATTTCAAGGTAACTGCCCGAACTTTCGTGTGATTCATGGCTCACCGTGGTTTAAGGGTATCATGAAAGATAGATTACGTGCATGTTTACTATCACCGAACCTGACAGGATATGTCCTCGAGCTTGCAGACAATGTCATCGTGAGCATGGACCTTGTGTACGCTGCTCAGTATACTGATTCACACAAAACTCAAGGCCTATGCAAAGAAACACCCTACGACTTTCAAAATTCCTGATGGAACTTTCGAGGATTCAGAGATGTCGGACGTGGTGACTACATTCATCAAGGAGAATTTGACCACAAAGCGGGGGAGCATGAAGCAAAAGGTACTTGACATTTTTAATGAAATTTTCGCACTCACATGTTTCAAAGATCAATCATAGCCTCAAAACCAAGGTGAATATATCTGTCCTCGCGAAGTCTCTAGCATCAACGGGTCACGAAGTTACAGCGGCACATTGGGCGCGCTTTGCCTTTCTGGTAAGTACGAGCCTTCTACTCCTGTTTGTTTTTACAACTTCCTGACAACGTGCCATTGAACAGCGCAGTACCTTTGTCAGCTTCCAGACTGTCATTGAGCAGGCTAAGGCCACTTCGGCAGCTCAGGACAGCGCTGTTGCTGTCGTGGAGAACAGGGACTCTGAAATCATCGACTCCCCCAAGGCCCCAGGTCCAGGTCCAGCCACAAGCGATAATGCAGAACCCAATGGAGTCACAGTCGCCGATACGATAGAGAAGGCACGGAACTGGGTATCAACCGAATATTGGGAATTTGTTGACATTCTTCTTCGTGATGTCAGGCAGGAAGCTCGCACCATTGGGAAGACACTGTTGGAACGTGAAAAGATAGTCGAGACGTAAGCGTTTTTTCTCCTTTTTCACATCAATTATTGACAATCATTCAAGGTTTTTCATGTCATGTCTCCAAGATGACATGAAGCGATATTCGTCTACTCACTCCCTTATTCCAACTTTTGACAAAGTAACCGTTCACTGGCAGAAAGCGATTCATACTGGGCTCATTTGGTAGTGTCACCGTCTGTCTACGTACTATAGCCTTTGTTCCACTCAGTAGCATCTAATGCATTTATTTGTGACATTCTTTCTATGGTGTGATTATCAACACCGGCACCTGACGCAAGCAATCATACTTCCCCATCTAACTATCAAATGTGTATCTCATATACGCATTCTCAAATATCTGTTGCGCGCCTATACAATGTCGGAACTACCGTCTACTCATAGATTGATTTGCACTAATATAACCATACAGCCGCCAATCTGAGACCTCTCACAGACCTCTGGTTTCGGTCAATCAAATCACTTGCTCATTGTATGTGTTATATTTCATCACAATGTGCCGCTAACATTATTCCTGTCAATGATGTAGTGTTCCATTTACAGGTATGTTATGCGCACAAAAGTAAGGGTAAGATTCATATTTTGCAGTATGTATGTGTAATATTTGACGAAAACACTTAAAATTACCACATCCAGTCCCCGTTAAGACACAAACCGTCCCAAAGGTCTCACAGACCCTCCCGAGAACTAACCGTGTACCGTCAACTCAAGCTCTAGATAGCCGACGGTACGGATACGGCAACTGTATTACGGCGCCGTAAGGTTCCGTCGTACGGCATACGGTGACCTAGCACTGATGATGGATAGCAGAATTATACAGATGTTTGCGATTGTGTACTATCATCATACATACTCTTATCATCTTTCCTCCAGTTCACTGATGACCTATCCACACCAGCCCTACCTCCATTCGCACCTCAGCTCGCATGAACGTCGACGATGAGGAAGCAGGCCCGACCCGACCAGTCGAGGATGCAGGAAAGGGCGCCACCAAAAGAAGGAAGTAAAGGATCCTGGAGGGGAGTATATGTGGCGGTTGTCGGCCACTATCGTGTTTCACCAATCGAAGAATGGACTTGTTCGAGTCGTTCCCGGAGCCGTGCGCTCATCATCTCACAGATACGTCGAAGAAAAAGACAGCTCGTATGGTATTTCATAGTTCCGCTCATACCTTCATTCGCATGCTGTACAGGAACAAAATTTCATTCAAGTGTCATCGAAAAGACCAGACACCGAACGCCAAGGACAAATCCTTCGTGTACGCCGTCAATGACATACCCTTCCATCCTGTGCACGGAACCTTCTCTACTTGCGGTAAGCCTTGAGGCTTCCAGTTCCATGTGGCTGGTCTGATTTGGAGACCCAGGCTCTGATGGAACTATCTACTTCTGGGACAAAGACGCCCGCACACGACTAAAGAGTATACCCACTCCAATTACCGACTGTTTACGATTGTACTGATCATACTTTTCTAGCTTTCGAAGCAGCCCCTGGGCCGATCAGTCCTACTACGTTCAATCGAAACGCCACGATCTTTGCATACGCTGTATCGTATGACTGGCCTAAAGGCCACAGCGGCATGACGCCAGGACATCCCAACAAACTCATGTTACATGCTTGCAAGGACGATGAGGTCAAGAGGCGGCCAAAGAAGTAAGTGACATTGAGGCATCGGGACAGTCTTTGAGTTGCTTTTGAGTAGTACGCTATCTACATCCATATGTCGATGTCTCGATGTTGCATTAATAGAGTGGCAGTTATGTTTCTCTTCTAAACGAAGACACCGATACTATTTCATTGATAGTTTGACTGGTTTCAACGAAAAGCAAGCAAGTAGTATGTAGAAACGTATTAACTTCAGCGAGTAGTAGTCACTGGGCAAGGGTGCGCGACAGTCTATAATTGGATGATAAATAGGTTCACCGCGATCATCGTCATCATCGTTTTTATGACTGTTTCTTGATTTCCAGCATGGGATCAAGGGACGACTCAGGCTGGCGGTACGAACCACCGACACGATCTGCCCACGTAAAGTACTGAGCGTGGGGACAAGAAGTCTTAGAGGATACCACGAGAAAAGCATAAATGATACTGCGTACCTGACCGTAGTTGACCGTAAAGTAAAGATGATGGAGTGTGTGATGGGCGGGTCCATTTATCACCTTTTCGAGGGCATGTCCCGTGACCATATCGGAATCATGAATCTGGTGTCGTTGACGTCAGAGCGGTCCATGTCAGTAATGCAAAGCACGCACGAGAATACTCCAGAAATTGACGAAAACGAAGAGACCGAGGTATAACCATCGGTGAAGAGGGAATATAAATATGAAGAGGTGATATGGGACAGATTGGAGGTAGCCGTCTACTGGGTGGAAGGCATGAGATGCAAAGGGGGTCGGAACTACCAAAATATTTGAGCGCACGACGACGGGATGCAGAGCAAAGCAACATACTTATCCACTTGTGGTGAGGCTTATGGAATGTTTTGTATATATTCGGGTGATGCAATAGTCGGTGGACCCAGTAAATTCCGTAGTCGGTGAAAAGCAAGAAGCTAATGATAAATGTTGAGTACATGTTACGGTTGGAAGAGAAAGCACTGACAATGGTACTGATAGGGCAAAGTAAGCCCAACCGTAATCCTCTACATTATCGTAAAGCTTTGAGTAACCCATTACCTCTGCTTGGAACCAAGGCAGAGTGAGAAGGGTCATTGCGGGAAAGGCTCGTAGACTGCATTGTATCTCTTGTTTGACCTGGTTCTCTAGGAAGCGTGGATGGCGCATCATCTCATGATTGAAAATGAATTTGTATGAGAGCCACGCGAACAGGAAATAGAGGAAATGAATGCCCAAGAGAGTGATTACACTGAGAGAAATAATTTGTCTAGGGATGTAATCACGAGCCCAGACAGACTGCTGAAGATGCACGATTGACGTGAAGTTTGCAGAGGTGGAAAGGGAGGCATATGACGGTTGAACTAGGTGGTCGTTGACAGGTAGCAGCCGCGCCCATACTTTGTCGAGGAGATAGTCATCTGCGAGGTGGAGAACAAGATCCATGACGCCTATAAATCAAATGACTGACGCTTGAAAGTCACTTGACCTAACCAGCAGGTACCTAGAACAAATTGACGACGTTTCGGTCAACTCTTTTATATATGACATGCTCAATCGAACCACTTTTCTGACCGACGGCATGACAAAGCATCCTAACATGGCCAATTTTAATTTCAACTTCAAATGAAACTCAGCGGCAACTGAAGTCTAAAATTGTTGATATAAACATAATTGAGGAAGTCATACGATAACACAAGGGCGTTTAGCGCAGTGGTAGCGCGTATGCTTTGCACTAAGCATCCAATTTGTATAAGGTCCAGGGTTCAATCCCCTGAACGTCCAACTTTTTTCCTGCACATTCGGACACTTGTCTGACCATTTCTCCGAGATCCATCCATCCATCCATCCAAATGGCATGACTTCGGAACAGGATGGCGTGAGCTCGTCACAACTGTGAGATTCGCTAGCGTGGGTGGTCTTCACGCTAATCATGGCATATTCAGTAACAACGGGCTCACGCCGATTTCGAGATCCCCGCAAAAATATCACGGAGCCCGCAAATCTACACGCGGTCCGCCGACGCTAGCTGTGTGACCGAATACAGAGTTATTACAAACACACGCGGCGATCTAACACTGGAGTTGGTGCGGCCACAGCCACGAGGAACCACCAAGGGTCGGTGAACTTCCGCATGTATCACCGTGACGTCCTTCTCGCGAGGCGCCATGGAACGTTGGGTTAATTCCCTCATTGGCAGCGCCTTGGTGTTTTTGTTGTCCACCCTAAACGCACGATCCTCGTGTGTTCAAGTTCCATTCGTATCAGGATGGCGTTGACTATGCGTATATCAGCCGAGTATCGTCCGGGTCATGTATCGGTATCTGGGCCATATGCATGTCTTCATCGCCCTGATGCATGGCCCCACCCAATTGCACCTCATCACACTATCACAATACCAATCATGGCGTGAAGTAATGATTCTTGGCTGCAGCCGATCTGCATGGCGTCCTCAGTGCATCTAAACAATGCGTTAGACACGTGTTGAACTGCAGGCTTCATTCGTTCACGATAATATTGTGTTTACGATCTACAAAACCACTGTAGCACACGAAACACAGACAGGACTAACCTCGACATCAACATGGGTGGATGTGTCAGTTGCTTTATTCCTTCCAGAGGCAAGAAGGTCGCGGATCCAGAGGCAGGCCAGGTTGAAGCCAAGCCGCCAAAACTTGAACAAGCCCCAGAGCCAAAACCACTGCGCCCAGAGCCGGAGGAGCCCAAGACTATCTACATAGCGTGCGTAACCATCATCTTGATGTCGGGCGGTGATTAACCCGCCCAACTCCACAGTGTAATGGGCGCCACAGGCAGTGGCAAGACAACGGTCTGATATTCCCTGTGCTCCAGTCCTCAACGCTCATAAACATTTGAATAGTTCATCAACGTCGCATCTGGCTCGGATTTGCGAGTTGGTATGGGGCTCGAGAGCTGTACAAATGAAGTACAGACGTCCCAATCGTTCATGCTGGACGGAAAGCGTGTCGTTCTCGTCGATACGCCTGGCTTTGATGATACGACGAAGAGCGACACGGACGTGCTGAAGATGATAGCTGCTTACCTGCAGACTATGTTGGTATCCTATATTATCCTGGGTAACGTAGCGCACTGACAGACTCTCCAGGCACAAGCAAGAGAAACTTATGTCCGGTGTTATTTACATGCACCGAATCTCCGACATCAGAGTCGGAGGTACATCAAGACGTGACTTTACCATGTTTCAAGAGTTGTGCGGTAAAGAGGCTTACAAGAACGTTCTCATGGTTACGAACATGTGGGGCAGCGTAAACGAAGCTGACGCCGTGGCGCGGGAACAAGAACTGCGCGAAAAGGACATATTCTTTAAGCCAATCCTCGACAACGGCGCTCTTCTCCTACGCCACATGAATGATCAAGAAAGTGCGCACAAGATCATTCAGAAGCTGACTGGCACGGATCCCGTAGTCTTACGCATCCAAAGCGAACTCGCAGCAGTGAATGACATCACTCAGACGGGTGCTTATGCGCAGCTGAACCGCGAACTCATGGAACAGTCAGAGAAGAACCGTCAAGAACTAGAGAAGTTGCGAGGAGAATTGGAGGAAGCTGCTCAGGCGCAAGATGAGGAGACGCGAATGGAACTCCAGGAGGAGTCGGAGAAAATGGAAGCGGAGCTTTTACGTGTGCAAAACGAGGCTGCGACGTTAGCATCCGAATATCAAGCAGAACTTCGGAGAATAGAAGAGCAACTCCACGCGCGTGCTGGATGACTGGCGCAATTCAATTGTTCCGAAGATCGTTTGGCTGACAATACGGATAATCCTGACCCCCTGCCCGTAGCGTAGTATGGACTGTAGTTGTGTTAGAAAGATACCCATATGCATTGGTGTGTAACCGACAAAACCCTGATCAGCATCATATTCTTGAAGCTGTGGTACTGCTTCAAACGATCAACAATGTTAAAGGGTAGTTACCCGATATCACGGAGACGGTACTCAAGAATGGACTAGCATTGCGCTCAGCGAGGACGAAGCGAGGCTGCTTCCAGGTCAGACCAACACACCGAGATTCATTCCTAGTGGTGATCACGTCTAAATAGGGCTCCAAACAACGAGGTAGGGCTCAATATTTCGCTAGGCATGTTAGGGGCTGCGCCTCGTGAAGACCATGCTACCGCAGGAAGTGCGTGTGCTCGATCGATAAGCCCGCAGGCGTATTTAAACACCCGCGTTCCTCACTCATGAACCAAAGTGCCTGCACAACGTATTGCCTGTCTCAGTATACAACTGTACCTCCTCTTGCATAGATTGACAACCGATTATTACTGAGCTACAATAATGGCGAATCCAAGCAGAGAAATCCGGATTGCGTACGTACCTTTCAGTGTCTTCAGGTTGATGAATTAACGCTCCTTCTAGCGTCATGGGCGCTACCGGTAGTGGTAAATCCACAGTATGTAAAGCTTCTTTGTTCCGAACCATGTGTTGCTTACTCTCGCTGGACACAGTTTATCAATAAGGCTAGCGGGTCAAGTCTTCCCGTTGGTCGCGGCCTCGAAAGTTGCACTAGTGAAGTACGAACTTCACGACCATTTGTCGTTAGCGGGCGTGTCGTGACCTTAATCGATACGCCCGGCTTTGATGATACTACCCGAAGTGATACGGACATTTTGACCATGATCGCCGCATATCTCTCCAAGACGTACGTGATTCCAATGCGACAGATTTCCTCAGGCTAAGCGTCTGCATTTCTTCAGCTACGAGCATGGGACCAGGCTAGCCGGCGTCATCTACATGCACCGCATCTCTGACTTCAGGATGGGTGGCACGTCCAAGCGCAACTTCAAGATCTTCCGCGAGCTTTGCGGAGAGAGCTCGCTCAAAAACGTTATCATTATCACCAACATGTGGTCAGAGGTGAAACGTGAGATCGGCGAGGCTAGAGAGGCCGAGCTTGCGAGTAAGGACAAGTTCTTCAAGCCCGTGCTTGAGAAGGGCGCTCGGATGCTCCGTCACGATGGCACCCTCGAATCCGCACATACCACCCTTCGTTATCTTATCAACAGCCAAGCTGCTACACTTCGAATTCAGCAGGAAATCGTCAACGAGCACAAGCCCATTGAGAAGACCGCTGCGGGCGCTGAGATCAGGCGCGCCCTCGACGAACAAGCGGATCACCACAAAGAAGAGATCCGTAGTCTCAAAGTGGAGATGGAGGTCGCCATGCGTGCTAAAGACGAGGAGACGAGGGCCGAGCTTCAGGAAGAGCTCGAGAAGAAGCAGCAGGAATGCTTGCGCATCGAGCAAAACTCTCAACGCATGGCAGCCGAATTCACAGCTGAGCGCGCACGCCTCGAGGCTCTGATCCTGCGGATGGAAGCCGAGCAGCAGAAGCAACTCCAGAGGGTGGAGAGCCTTCAGGGCGAGGTCGACAAAGTCCTGACTGAGAAAGAGCAACAGGAAGCTCTGCATGTTCAAAGGAAGAACGAGATTCTTGCTGCCAAACAGGCAGAGGACAGACGGCGCGCTCGTGAGTTGGAAGAAGAACGCAATGCAAGAATGCTGGCGGAAGAAAATCACCAGAAGCACCTCCAAAGTCTTCTGGACGACATGGAGAAGACACGCATCGCAAAAGAGATTGCCGACATTGCTCACGCCGAAGAAGTCAAACGAGAGCGGGACAGGCTGGCAGCACTAGAGGCTGAGCAGCAACGACAGACGTCCGCCATAGAAGCCGCGGAAAGGGAACGTGCTCTGGAGGAGGCGGAACGAATACGTTTGCAAGAAGAATTTGCGCAGAGAGAGAAAGAATTGGAGGAAGTCAAGGCGTCCCACGCAGAAAAAGAGGCTGAGAGTGTCGCAGCGAAGCAGGCGGTTGAAAGTGCCCGAATACGTCTCCTTGAACATCAAGAGCTAGCACGACAACGTGAAGAAGAGCTTGCTCAACTGCAACGGGAGATGGAAGAGGCGCACGCCGCCCGGGAGCGCGAAGCTGCGTTGACTAGGCAGGCTGAAGAAGATATACGCGTACAACTGCTTGCAGAGAAGCATGAAGCCAAACTTCGCGAGGAAGAAGCCCACAGGAAACAGCTCGAAGACGAGCTCCTGCGTACTCGGCGAGAGATGGAAGAGGCTGCCAAAGCCGAAGAGACGCGCAAGCAGGAGGAGGCCGCCGCCGCCAAGAAAGTTGAGGAAGAAACCCAGTCGCGTCTCGTGGAGCTACAAAAATTGGCCAAGCATCGCGAGGAGGAACAACGGAAGACAGCGGAGCAAGAAGTCGCACGAGCACGCAAAGAACTAGAGGAGGCGCGTGCAAAGGCAGAACGCGAAGCTGCTGCTGCCAAGGAGGTGCAAGAATTGGAGCGCGCCAGACTTCTTGAAGAACAGAAGAAACGAGAAGAGGAGCACCGAAGGCAAACGGAGGAAGAACTTGCTCGGCTGAGACAGTTGGTTGCTCAATCGGAAGAGCAGAGCGCGAGTCTAGCAGAACAAGCGCGTCAAAAAGAAGTAACAGAAAAGAAGAGTCAGCAGCTCGAGGAAGAACTGGCGAAGGCGCGCGAGCGAGCTCGAGAAGCGAAGCTAGACTACGAACGCAGATTGACTGACATTGAGGAGCAAAGTTCACTCGAACGTGGCTTGCCCTTGCCAGGTGTTCTGTTGCCGAATCTGCCATTTGTGGTGTGGAAGGCAGCCATGACGTGGTGGGGAACGACGAAGATGAAGAAGTGAACCACGATTATGTAGCCCTGCGTTCTGCAGTCATTGACCAGCGCTGGTCCTTAACCTATTGAACTGATACATCATGCACGAAAGAATACTAGTTTATTTCCTTGCCTGAGTCCTGGTCGCAGTATCTATTCACCTTGTAGTCCCGTAATGAATTATCTGTAGATGTGACAAGTGCACACTGCACTGTATGTATCATGTGTTGCCGCCGTGCTCGAGTTGTTCATGATTGCCAGGACCTGGGGAAACGGGACCCGACGGGTAAACGATTGTTTTCCTTCTATTGGGGGAGAATACATTGACATCGGTTCTCGACGCCGCCTCGTAGTCCGCGGGCGGCCAGTCAGCTGGCGCGTGATGCTTTCACTGCCAAGAGTTAAGGCTTCGACAAGCTCGATCCGCCGATAGTCAGTGCAGCGAATTATACGAAGACCCATGATCATGTTAGCATTGGGAGAACGTTCAGCCCAAGTGTCAGTTCCACTGTCACGTCTTTATTTGTATAAGTTATTATTACAATGCGGCCAACAACTTGCAAAACACCGTCGCTCCTTGCTAAACCCAAAATTCTTTTGCTAGAGAACACTCAATTGCCATCTCAAGTTGCTCGTCAGTGCGACAAACTAGCATCCTCTTCATCCCATCACCCTTCCCGATATCCACGATGATACCTTCATCGTCATTCACTTGGCTGTTCTTTGTCTCGTCGATCACCGCGAACCCGAGGCACGCGACAGCTTCTCCGACAGCACGTCTCAGTTCGGCGCTTCGTTCTCCCACGCCTCCCGCAAAAACCAGAGCATCAACGTTTCCGTGGAGAGCTAGATGATATGCCCCGGCAAAATGGAGTATGCGATCTAACATGATGCGAAATGCAAGCGTATTCGGGTCTACGGTGCGAGATATAGGATCAGAAAGTACACTGGTATCTGCCTTCTCCGTGATCTCTTTGAAGTCGGCTGTACCGGTGAGTGCCTTCCAACCTGATTTGAAGTTGAGGATGTCCTCAGCCTGTCAAGAATGAGCGCTTGAGCTTCCATTTCGCAGACAAGAGAATATTCGAACTTCTGTCACTTTGACTTCCTTTGAAATGCTAGGATCGTGACTCATATGCGCTGGAGACCGACTGGTGTAGTGGAAGATTAGGCTCGCGTCTATGTCACCAGCGCGTGTAGCTCCAGGTAGTCCACTCAGCGGGGTCAACCCCATACTTGTATCAATGGACTGGCCGTTGCGGATGGCACACATGGAAGCCCCCGAACCGATATGAAGGGCGATTATGTTTAGAGTATCCGGAGCCTGAGGAGGTCAGAAGGTCACAATCAAACAACAGAATACCGGATACCTTGTTGAGATGTGCAGCCACTGTCCGCAAGATGAACGCGTCTAGGAAGATACAGCGTCAGCGACATCTTGGCGAGGACAGATAGTGCATACAACTTAGACCATGAAAACCGTACTTCTTTAATCCCTTCTCGTGTGCCACTTGCTGATTGATCGCATAGGTAGCTACATGAGTCGGAAGATCTTTGTGAAATGCACTGTCAAAAAATGCGACGGATTTCGCATGCGGAAGGGCCTTGATGGCTGAGCTGATGACGGAAAGAGCGGATCCATTGTGTCTACAGGCTTCGTAATGCAGCACTGAATACGAGCCGGGAGAGAACGTACAAAGGGGCAAGGTCGGACAGTTTCTTGATATGGTGATAGGATTCCTCAAATATCATGACAGGGCTTATGTAGTCGCCACCATGCACTACACGATGTGCAATGTGCTTAATGTCAATTGTGTCGACGCTCGCCTCTCCCTTGAGGCGATGCAAGAAGTGCTTAAACGCCGACTCATGATCATAGATTGAGTCGACTTCTTCGCTCAACGACCTGTGTTGAGGTGCGACAAAACTCAACTGGAACCTGGCTGGAGGGGCAAAAATGGATGATGTGGACGAGGATAGGAGTAATGCCGGATTTGCAGCATTATCAGCAGAACGGCGGAAAAGTGAAATTTTAAGCGACGATGAGCCAGCATTCACAGCCAGCACAAGCGACATGGTAGTACTGATTGTAAGTAATTCTCAGAGGTTCTGTAGGCCAGTCCAAGAGGGGTGCAATTTTAAAACTTCTGACATCATCCTGGAGCCCCCACCACCCCCTGTCACAGCGTGATTGTCACGGTAATATGACCATATCAGGTAAGTAACGTGTACTTTTACTGATGTACAAGGCAAGGTAAAGTGCGCAACAAACCTGTAACCTAGATGTACAATCGTAGACTTTGTGTGTGAATGATAGCAATGATAGCGTGAATCAAGAGAGCATTGAAAATGAGTGAAAAGAGCAACAAAAGAGCATAGTAAACAATGTATGACTTGGAAAGTAAAGTATTCACACAATTGATCAATGGATCAACAGAAATGGAATGAAGGAGAGTATGCAATTAAAGTACGTGCAAACTGAAGTGGTTGGACAGAGGTACAGAGTTGTTTTGAGGGTAGGAATGAAGCCAACTCGAGACCAGGACATTTTCTGGTGCAAGAACCAGATGATGGAATGTTCTCTTTGTCACCTTCCTGTCCTACCTGCCAACACTGTTTCAGAATTTGAGCAGCAGTCTGTTCAAGGTCAGTCAGCTTCATACTCTCCCAGACCTCTGCTGGCAAAGGGACACCAGCCTCCCTATGACCAGGCATGGAGTACTCCTCATGCTGACTGAGAACATGCTCTGCCATATTGTACCTCCAGACAGCATTGACAAAGGTGGAAATGATCTTGCAGGTTGACTTTCTGGGTTCAGGAGGGAGTACTGGATGGCAAAGTGTGCATCTAATAGGCACATTCCTGCAAGGTGTGTTTTTCGATCCTTTGTCAGCGAATTTGTACTTAAAGATGAAGTGATTAATACACTTCATCTCCAATGATGGTGGGCCATTTGTGAACACTTTGATCTGAATCGTGCACTCCGGACGTCCAGATCAGCCACAAAATCTGCAAGGAAGAACCTTCCCAACCTTACATAGATATGTAATAGATTTAGCTAAATTGACATAGAATGGAAAAAAAAAAAACATACCTGCTCCTTCAAGCTCTCAGGCGTGTTGCTTAATGCATGTAGAACATGCTGACCAATGTGAGAGCACATGTCAGTGACCTTGGCCTTGCAGAGAGAGCATGTAGTGATCCATTTGCCTTCAGATGCTGCAAGCAGATTGCTTGCTTCGACGGAGACAACAGCGGATGTTCCTGAGAAGTCTTTTCAACAAATGACAAATTAATATAAGGAAAGATGTACCATCAGGAAGCTGGTAAGGAAATGATTTGTTGTCCAAAGGGCTCACACAAGCAATGTACTTGAGAGGTATCTTTGCTTTGACGACCTTCGTTCACAAGAGCTTGCACGTGGCTAGAAGAGCAGCATGCAAAACTTGTCATGTACTCTGACCCCCTTTAATCTCTAAAAAATTGTCACTATTGACATTATCCCGAAGTCAAATAAAAGTAGGTTCGGGATTTATGGGCTCAACAAGGAAGCTGGGGATGCTGATGATAACCACACTCTGTGGAATCTGATGTCCCCGGAATGATGGATTGAGCCTTCACATAGCCTCCATTCCAAAGGAAGAAGAGTGGGTCTTGTGAATCAGGTGATGGATGAGAGGGAATGATGGTGAGAAGTTGCCCAGTGATTTTGGCAGTAGCATATGAAGCCTTCATTATTGTAGTGTTGATCGAGGAGTGAGAGACATCATTGACAATTACTGCAGTCAAATGAAGTAAGGCAATGGAAACAGTACGAGCAGAATGAAGGATGGTAAGAAAAATATTGCCAACGAGGAACAGATTTTGATTGGTGATGTGCCCTGCACTCATGTCGATCCTCTTGTTCACTTTAGTGAAGCTGCGAACACGTTCAAGTCCATTGGAAGATTTTGATATGAAATCCTTGTTGATAACGAGTCAGCAGATAGTTTGCTTATGGATCCAGTGACCTTTGTAGAGCAAGTAGTCATTTATGCGGATACCAGCACCTTGAAGTGCAGATGGAACTGTCGGAAGAGGATGTGATTGGGTGGGAGGTATGTCCAAGATGGACTGTGCAATCAGCTCCTCTTCGAATATCAACATAAGTTCTTCTTCATCCTCACCAGTGGCTATCACTGTTAGGGCTGGCCACCGTAGGCCATATTATGGGCATGTACAGTGGCGTAATACGGTAACCGTACCCATACCGTCGGCACTTCAGCCTTGGGGTATACAGTTATGGTGTACGGTTTCTCCATAACTGTATTTCGCCGTAAATGTATGGTTATTATGACCGTAAATACGGGACATACGGTTGACCATATGGTCGTGGCATTTTAAGTCCCACTTTCTGTAACATGGTATGAGTTCTGTGTCAATTCTAAGCACCACTTGACAATACACGTTCTAATCTTAGAATACCAGAGCTCTTAGCTCATTCTGCTGCAAGCTCCGTGACATCTTTTGCTACCACCAGCATCTCAAACGCGTCTACAACCGGTGTTATCCGTGACTGCATTCCCTGCTGGCATTCAGGTAGCGTCCACGCAAGTCATCTTTGAGTTCACCAACTTTACATGTCTGATATCTATCACAGCTGGAATCGTGCTCTGATGCGTGCTCGTGGCTTGGCTTTGGGTCAGGAGTTCAAGGGTAAGGCGTCAACACTGCCCTTGGTCCTATGATGAACATGGGTCGCGTCCCCCAAGGTGGCTGTAACTGGGAGGGTTTCGGTGCAGATCCTTTCCTAACCGGCGAATCCGCATATGAGACAATTTTAGGCCTACAAAATGGCGGAGTACAAGCCACTGCCGAGCACTTCATCAACTAGTTTGTGTTTTCTTGTGTTTGTTTGCTTTTCTGCTTATCCCACCAGTGAGCAGGAACACTTCCTCACATTAGAATCTTCAAATGTTGATGCTGCAAATATAAGTAAGCATCGAAATCAGATGAGCGAGTTAGTACTACTGTAATTTACTAATTCAACATTTTTTCATCTCCTGTATGACCGTATAGCCGGTCATATGACCGTATGATGACCCGTACCATACCGTCGAACATTTTGAATGTATTGTACAACATACAGTACGGTACAGGTAGTACCCGTAAGCCCACCGTAAATTGTACGGCCGTAACCATATATGGTTATGGTGGCCAGCCCTAATCACCGTCTCTATGGCATGCAATGGCAAGGTGGCAGGCACCACAGGTGGGGGATTTGGCACTCGACTGGAGTCATTGAGCTCCTCTTCTGTAATGCCAAAGTACTTATTCTTACCTAGAGGACATGGGATATTTGTTCCAGGATCACAGAACAGGTCGGTGAAGGAGTAATTGATGGGATCAATCCGTGAAGTAGTGAGAATAGATAGTGCGATTTCACACCCTTATTTCCAGGCTGATAAAAGACCATAGTGACCAGAGATAATATCCCCCCTCCACATCATCTGATTGATGTGGTCAACATCCTTGATCTGCTTGCCCAGGTTGAGGCGCCGATGACCAGGATCGAGTTCAGGGTGCCGATTGAACATGCCATCAATGTCCTTAGCAGTGCCTAGACAGTCAAGGGCCTGGGAGTATGAGCATCCGGAGTTGTGACCACTGATCATGTGCAACTGACCGAACATGAGTTCAAGCCAATCGTCTCTGCAATCATCAAGGAAGAATGATTCGTACGGATCAAGAAGTTGCTGCTTTGCAATATTGAATATGACATTCTTGACACATGTTTGAGTGTTGTAGTAGAGTTGGAAAGGCATGAATAGACAGTGGTGAACATGGAAAATGGAGAATGCAAGGTGAGCATAGCAACTAAGGGACTGAACTTGTTCTGTGAGGGAAAGCTTCGTATTGATGAATGGGATGAGAATAGATTCAATCAAATTGCTGAGGAGAGTGATTGAAACTAAGTCCGTGTGTGTGTTGACATCAGTTGAAAATAAGTTGTTGAGAAGGGAGTGCTGAGACTTAGAGAACTTGACTATAGCCTGCAGTAACTCAATGGCCTGGGGGATGTCTTGAGGATCATCAGAGTGGAGGAGTTTTGTAATGCTGGCTTCATCATATGCGGGCAACCAGACAAGGTACCTTGAGAGCATCATGCTATTGATTACGCGACTGTTACTGAGTACAATTCCAGCAGCAGAACAGATGAGCGTGCAAAAGCCTACAGGTATGTAGTATTAGAATTGACTAGGATTGTATCAGAGAATGAAGAACTCATGTTTGAAAATGTGCTTGAAGTCAAAATCAACACCTTGGCATCACCTGTCATGGTGTTCAGGCCAGACATGTTGTTAAGTATACTGTATAATGGTGACTCTGGTGACAACAGTTTCTTGAGAAAAAGTTTGTGCCCCACTGCACAACACATAGCATCACCATCAGTCGCAAAGGACCACACTGGTCCAATAGATGCAGCGGCTCCGGGTATGTTCCACTGTTCCATTGCATGAGTGAGTGTGATCTCCATATCTCCAGCATTCTCTATCTTGCAAGTGGGCACTGCTAAAACAGGATAAAGCTTGTCTTCTCTGAAGCACGTGACTCCAATAACCATAAGCTCCTTCCCAAGGTGGACTTTACTGCCGTGAATTTTCTGTGTGATTGTGATGGCAGATTTGTATGTGTGAAGAACAGGGTTGATGAGGTGGGAATGCTTCCAGCAAAGGCCAGCAATCTTGTTATACTTGCTGAAGTGGACAGCTATTTCTTCCAGAGCTATTTCAACCACCATGAGACTCACACCGCATAGGGTTGTGATGTCAGCACAAGAGCTGAGAACTACTGAGCAAATATTTTCATCAAGCTGTTCATTGTGAATAGGGCCAATAGTGGGAGTGAGTGTGGTAAAGGTGGACCTGGTGCAAAGAGTGCAAATGGAGGGAAGACTGAGGCTTTGATTGAGTGCAAAGAGAAGTTGTCAACCACCAAGACGAAAAACTAATGTCACTATATCTAAGTCACTGGCTCCATACCCTCATGGACGGTATGCACCCTTGAGGGCATCTTCAAGCTTATTAACTATCTCCCGGACACTGGCACCATTGTGCAATACAACATTGATTATTTGCCGGAGCTGAGGGACGTCTTGCTCAGAGATAGCCATGAGAAGATGATGGTAGTCATCAAGTTGGGTCAGCATGCTCATGTGCTGATGCAATTCATTTAGTCCCTAGATATAGCTAGTTATCACATGTATTAAGTACATCAAAAAAACTCACCTGTAGCTTCAACTGCCTCATTTGATTGGCATACCCTTTAGTGAGGTCTTGCATGTGTGCAAGGCCCAAAAAGCAGTAATTAGTGTGTGGTTTGGGGTCACACACAGCCTCCACAAGTTGAGAAACATGCTGGGAGATGTCAGCACATTCATCACATGGCACACCCTCAAGTAGAGTCAATAACCTGCAGCACTTTGACCAAACACGAGGCTTGCTTGGATGTGTGATATCGACAAGGAAAGGTAATGAGTCTGGACTGTTGTTGTATCATTCCCAAGGTAAAAGCATTGTGAATGAGTGAAGGTCATCTGGCCAGACAACAGTAAGACCAGTGCAATTACAACCAGGAGGAGGAGCAAGCAATGTGCTGAGATTTTTGATTGATGATCAATCAATAATGTGTGTGATAAAATGGAACCAAAATTAAACATACCTTGTGTCATTTGAGGTAACTCCGGAACATGTTGATGGTATATCAAACATGTTGTCGTCCTTCTGAGGTGCACTCAGCTTGTTTTTGGCTGCCATCTGATTGCATTTCTGACTCCCCTAATGATTACTGAGTGACATGAACTGTCCGGATATCCATAAGTTGATGCCCAAGTGTATGCCAGTCTGACACCACTCTGCACAGTCCAGACACAAAAGTTCCCACCACTTTGAGGCGCTGATTCGGACTTGTAGCTTGTTCTTGAGAAAAGCTGATAGAGCTCATCAGGACTATTTAATATGAGTAGTCCTTCGTTGTCATATTCTGTTTCTGGGTCTAAACTTTCTGATTCCAGGTCTGATGAGATGAAGTTCTCAGGGGTCATGGCCAATTCATAGGCATCAGGTAGATCTTCTGGTGCCACTGCTGATTCTAGGAAGGTGTCCAACCAATATTGTGCAGGGCCAGAAGAATCAGTAGAATCCACTGAAGGAGATCTATGAAGGTGTTATCGAAAGTCCAAGTCCGACTGATATGAGTCGTTGATTGTGTCTGAGTCCTTGCTATCATCAAAACTCAAGGATTCAAAGGTATGTGCATGCCACTGTAATGCAACCATGATAATAATTTATGTGTAAAGGAGTGAGTATGAGATGCAATGAGACGTGTCGATGTGTATGACACACATATATTGATATCACACACTTTGATCACGTGCTTACAAAGTTACATCCAACAGTTGTCTTTTTGTGAGTAGTGCACTTATACATGCATTTTTTATCAAGTAAAATACCTAGTTGTATTCTACAGTAACCCCCTCCCCCCTCCCCCCCCTTCCAAGTAGCAAATAAAAATATATATTCATTTTTGAGACCGCTAGGTCAAAACTCAGAATGTCTGTCTCGAAAGTTAAGAGCCAGTTCGTCTACCAGATGTTGACGAACATTTGGCAAAACAACCTGCGCAGATTGTCGGCTTGGGCCGACGGAGATTCGGAACTTGAATATGCTATCTAGCTGCATCGTAGGTACAATGTATGCCCTTGACAATGGATGCTCTACCAGCTGTCCCTGCTCCCATGGATCTTCGATTGGATGTCCCGCTATTCATGCCCCATCGTCCTGAAGTCCAGCAACGTCTCATATGATCCACGATCCTTTTGATCAGCATCTTGATTAGCGCTACCACTAGTATATTACATTCAATCTATCCAAAAGATCCTGAGCCATACCACACGTCTGCTCTATCGGGAGAAGAGTGGGTCATAGAACTATTAACTGGTCACTCCGCGCGAATACGATGCGAGCTTGGCGTGCATGCGCATGTCTTCGGGGAGCTCATATCGGAGATGCGTACCCTTGGGCACACGGACTCCAAGTTCGTCTCGCTAGAGGAACAGCTAGCAATTTTCCTCTACATGGTAGTCACGGGCTTGCCCATCAGACACACTGGTGAAAGATTTCAACGCTCCAACGAGACTATATCTCGGTGAGGGTGATATTTTTAATTGTGCGCTATATCTCATTGTACATAGTTATTTTCGTAGGATGCTCAATATATTTTCGTCCCCCCCCTTCTATCCAAAATACGTTCACTTGCCGGATGCATCTATCCCACGCAAAATTCGCCAGAACCCCAAGTTCTGGCCGTTTTTCAAGGATACTGTTGGGGCTATTGACGGAAGCCATATTCATGCATCGCCTCGTGCGTTTGAACGCGGGCCTTATCGTAATCGCAAGGGGTTTGTATCTCAAAACTGTCTTTTTGCTTGTGACTTCGAGATGAACTTTACATACGCACTTACTGGCTGGGAAGGGTCGGCCACAGATGCCCGCATCTATGAGGATGCCCGTGCTCATGACCTTCACTTACCTGCAGGAAAATATTTTCTTGCAGATGCTGGCTTTCCTCTACGGCCGGAGTTACTCGTACCATATCGTGGTGTCCGCTACCACCTTGCGGAATGGGGCCACGCGAGCGTAAGGTGAGTTTACAAACATTTATTTTTTCAGCCACCAGAGTGTACTAATTTTTGCCTACAGACCAGCTAACAAAAAGGAACTATTCAACTTGCGTCATGCGTCAGCGCGCAATGTCATCGAACGAATCTTTGGCGTCTTGAAAAGGCGCTTCCGCATTCTCCTTCTATCGCCGTTGTATTCAATGGTGGTTCAGGCACAGATCCCCGCTGCTTTGTGCAGCATACACAACTTTATCCATTTCCATGACCCTACCGAGGGCGCCATCCCTGTTGATGCAGACAACGACGCTGGTGATTTGCACACCAGAAACTGGGAGCAACCGGCAGTAGCAGATGACCATCAACTCGCTGATGCAGATGTTCACACATCTCGTGATCGCATCGCAGAACAGATGTGGTTAGATTATCAGCGGGTTTTGCGAGAAAGAAGTGTTCTCGAAGGTGATTCAGACAGTGATCTATCAGACCAGGCTTTATCAGAGGACGAGGATGGGCTGGGGCGGTTCTAGTCTTAGAATAGGTGACATTGAGCACATGTAACTGGCACTTGCACGAAAACGATTACATTGATATGAGAGCAGGAGTGGTATGAGAACAGTACATGATATAGTAACTACATGTTAGTATGAGTATGAGGCAAGTTACAACACAACACGAGTGGTACATGATACCTATACCTCCGCCATGAGCAAAGTGATATATAACGAACGTGTCTCAAAGTCCCCGTCGAGCGAAATGTAAGTGGCAAGAGAATTCTCATTTCCCTGACGGCTGAAGATCTGCATCAACTTTGCTCTCTCCATGACCGACAGATGTCCCATCTTGGATACGCATAATCTCCAAGGCGCGGGTCATGCTGTTCGTGCTGGAGTTCAAGGTAAGCGACAGCGCAGAAGGTGTAGATGGGGAAGCCGTCAATGACTTCTCCAGAACGTCAGTCAAGCGGTTGATTGCACCCTGCATACCCACGACAGCGACTGCAGGGGTGATCTTTGCTGCCCTGGCGGCACTGCTCATGAGTTCCTGAGCAGTCTGCTTGGTCACACGGGCCTTCTTTATGGCTGGCTGCGCAGACGACACCAGAGTCGCAGAAAGCGGGAGGGATGCCGGCGGTGGCAGGAGGGATGATGGCGGTGGCGGGAGGGATGACAGCGGGAGGGATGACAGCAGGGGGCTGTCATCATAGAAAGTAGTTGGTGGAGCACCCGTGGAGGTGTAAGATGTCACTTCAGCGGAATCAAGTAGAAGAGTGTCGGTGCGCAGGCGCTTGTTGCCAGAGGACTGAGAGGTTGTAGTAACACCGGTAAGAGGAGGTACACGGACTACTTGCGGGGTGATTTGCAGGGTGGTGCTGATGTTCCCCATAGGATCCATGCTGGCAGCTGTCGGAATAATAGGCCCTTCGGCCTCAAGATCTTCGTCCTCAAGTTCTTCGCCCTCGGGTGCATTGGCTGATGAGGTGGGGGGTGGACCCGCGGAGGTAGGGTGGAAGGCATAACTTCCACAAGCACTGCTGTTCGTCCCCAAGATCTCCAGCATCTTGTCGTAGAATACCCAGCCCTTGTTCCGGAAGGGACGCATTGACGAATGAGACTAATATCATCAGTCTGTATACAAGACACATACGAGCATGATAGCGTACCTGTGGCTCAACATAGGCCTTCCACACAACTCCCGCATCTGTACCTTCGATTGATGCTCCTGTGTCCTTGTCCCAGTGACAACCTGATTGGTTGCGGTATGTCTCAATGCCACTGAATGATTTTTTGAGCTAAAAACAAACATCAGTTCATGATAGATTAAGATCAAGATAACATATTACCGAGATCCACTTAGTCTTGACCTTCTTCCCAGTCTTCAGTGCCCCCACTGATTCGAGTGTTTCATCGGCATTCAGGAGAACTGCCGCTTTGTTGTAAGTTTCCTGTGGAAAGTTTCCTCCGTCGCCACCCTGTGCACGATTAAGGACGAGGTAGTCAAGTAGTGCGTGAATCTCGAGGTCATTCCAATGGGCCTTGTCGGCAAACTGAACTGGTTGGGCCATGAGAACACTGGTATAATGGGCACAGATGGCAGTAATAGTGACCACCCAAGCACAGATC